TAAGGCTGAGCCTGGCCCCCCTCCTCCCTGGCACCCCCCGAACTCAGGGGAAATGCTTTGCTTTTCTCCTCAGAAAAGGACAATCTCACGTGGTTAAATTGCAGCTCGTTATTAGGGCAGTGAAGACCATACTTTGTTAGCAATCTTGTCGGTGATGCAGTAATTAGCTTGTCTTTCTCTTGGGGTGCCCGATGCTTCTCCTTTGGACACCTCCTGTAGATGAGTAGTCTCCCTCTGTCACCTAATCTGCTAAGCCTCAGGAAAGTAACAATAATTCACAGATAAATAGGTCAAAAGGCAAGCCCTGGCTGCCAATGGCAGGAGAGGGATCTTAAAGTTGTGAGGATGACAGCAATTTCAGGAACAGGTAAAACTAAGAACAATTTCGCAAGAGGCAAAAATGGGGACCAAAGAAAAAAGACAAAGCGATGAAGAGCAAGGCATGCTCCCACCAGCTCCAAAGCCTGGTGGCCACTGCAGCTCCCCCCGCCATGTTTCTGTGGTCATATGTTGTTGAGCTCACACACTTTCACCCATGGCAGCACCTGCAGTGCGTTGCTCTCGCTCTGGCTAACTACTGCCAGCATGTGGCAGGCGTACGGTACCCCACACCTCCGCACGGTGGCTAAAACTGTTCTGAGGTGGTGGAGAGGGGATTGCAGGAACCTCACTGCTTTAGGGTGTGAGCCAAAATGTGGAGACTGCTTACGCAGACCAGGAGAAAAGTCTTCACTGCCCGTACCACAGAGTGATTTACACCCGTTAAAAGCCTGACAAATACACCAAAACCCAGCCTGCTCTTACACATTGGTAGGAGAAAGTAAGATGTTCACTTGGGACATGGGAGGTGTGGATTCCCTGCAATGGAAATGGCCGCCAGAGGGTGGATTTTCCATTAACTCCTCTGAAGGGCAGGAATGTTGTGGAGGGACATCCCCCTCCGCCCTCATCCATCTCATTTTTCGCTTTCATATCCCCTCTAGCTGCCGCGCAGTGGGGTGACCTTCTCCAGCCCCAGAACAAAGTGACCAGTCACTCACTCCCTCAAATGGTCCCCAAACTTCTTTTCTCTCCCTTTCTTTTGGAGGCAATGGGCTAAGCACTTGCTTCTTCCAAAACTCTCAGGTGCCTGACCAAATGTGGTGACTGCTTGCTGAAGACCAGACAAGTATCTACAGAATCACTGAATAAAACAATGTGTAAAGCTCACTACGTAGACAATATATCAACTGTAGGTACCGGTTGTTACTTCTTGACTAAATATTCAATGCTTTTTGGATGTGTGGACTGCTACAAATACAAGTCCTTTGTTAATCCATTGTTAATATGAATTTATATTTCAGTATTTGCCTAAACTTGAAGATATTAAATTGTCTATACAACGTTTCTTTACACATTTAAAACTTTTTCTTGCGGTTTCCAACTCTGTACTGATCCTAATGCCACTCAGACCATAAAGCAACTTTTGCCTAAAGCCCATCCTCAGCAAGAATTTCAGCAATTCTGGTTTGCACTTACCTGTGAGTCACCCACATCGCCCACGCCTTGAGCAGCCTGTGCCAGCCCATGTCTGCAATGCCACTGCACAGGAGCTGCGAGCACACCGACAGGCAGGGAAACATTACGGGTATTATGGAAAGGCTCTCCGTCCCACTTTCACTTTGTTGTAGCTGTTGAAATATAGGTGCCTTTGGAGCCAACATTTCTGACTGTTCTCCAAATGCCTTCTCTAGCACTTCTTGGCCACTAAGAAAAAGGGGGTGAAAGCACAAACACGTACCAGAAGCTGTGATATTACCTTTCTCCACCTGCAGTTAGGCTCTGTTTTCCCTAGGAGCTTTTAACGGATACAGGAACTATATACTACGCAGGCGAAGCACTCCCTGGTGTGATTGCAGCTATGCCAGCAAAGCTGTGTTTTGTACAGGCACAGGGCTGCTCTGCCCCCGCTCCCAAGTGGGACAAGCAGCACAGACACAACCAGCCGCACGGGAACCACCAGAGAGAAGCCCCCCGTCACGCTGCAGAGCTCTGCCACCCGGCGCCCTGCCTGGCGCAGCCCTGCCGGGGGAGGCTCAGGCCTTGGGAAAGGGGTCAGACATCAGCGCTGTGCCCTGGCATAGGCTAAGGACCAGCTCTGGGAGCTGCAGGTGTCCAGCGCATTGCAGGTGCAGCTCCTTGGCAAGAGCAGAAGAATGGACAGCTCTCCCTCTGCTTCCATGCAGTAGCTTTCACCCCCTCGCCCAAACTGGATTTCTTTGTCCCTAAGAAAGCAGCCACCAAGATGGCATCATCCCTCGCCACAGTGTGTGCTGCGATTATAACAATGACTGTTCATATGGGCCTGGTTGAATCAAAAATACCACAAAGCAACCCAGCAGATTCATGGCAAGTGTCCCTGTACTTTTGTACATAGTGGCTTAGAAAATTAAGAAAAGCAGCATTTGTCCATTAGTGTTCAAATATTACCCAAGTACTGTAAGATACCAGAGCACCTGCAGGAAAGGACCACAGCTCAATTTTTCCCCAGCCCTGAGGGCACAGTCCAGCCCCTCTCTCCAGCCTGACTTGCACTGGGGGTTGGACTAGATGATCTCCAGAGGTCCCTTCCAACCCTGACCATTCTGTGATTCTGTGCTCAGGAATGAAGCTCATATACCAGAAGGGATAAGATGGAGCAGGACCACAGCCCTCGCTCCCGTGGTCCCCTACCTTTTAAAGACAGGATGGAAAACCAAACTATTCCTTTCCTCCACCCCTGCCCATGGCCTGGTCAGGGTTCCAGGCAGATGCAACGCGCAGCTTATACACCAGCCTGCTTGGCGCTGCCAGGCTGAGCGTGGACCCCAGCACCCGGGCCCCAGGCACACCTTTCCAGTGCAGGTGGGGAAAATTATGCAGCTCCAAATAGGATCCCCACGTGGGGAGTTCCCCATCTCAGCACAGTGGATGTACACCTCGTTTTAACTAGTCAGCAGGGAGATGCTGAGACAAAGGCACGTGCTTCACTACAGCACTACTAAAGCAGCTCTCAGAGTTGCATAGAAACATCACTTCACTCTTGGGATTTCCAACACAGAACCTTTTCCTGAAGATAGAAACCTATGTCTTCCTTCTCATTTCCGAAGGCCTGTCCAGAAGAGATCAAGCTTCATTCCAAACCCAGGGTTGGCAAAGAGCCTCCCTTTTCAGCACATCCGTTTTGAGAACCTGCTGCCTTGCTTTTAGCAGGGAGAAGATGGCACAGGAGCTGTTAGCAGAGCAGGTGGTGTACGTTCCCAGTGAGCTTTCCTTGCAAGGGCACGTCTATGAGCCTGTACTGTGAGACACTTCCCCATTTCCCACCTTAAAACGTTGCCTATGACTGAGGGGTACGCATACATTATGAATGAAAAGAATGAATTGGTGATTTCATTAGCTAATTTTTCAGCCCATAAACATCTGCACCATGACTTGTGGAGGAAGAATCAGGTGGAAAGCTAACGCTTTTTCTAGAAATGGATCATTTTAGTACAATGATTTTGTTGCATAAACAGTGAGCTAAGAATTAGCTAGATAGATAGAACCAGAACTGCACTCTGTGGAATTAAGAAAAGTCATTCCTAGTTCTGTTATATTAGAGTTCATAAATTTATCAGAAATCAAAATTTTGAGCCTAAACTCTTTCTGACCGTCCATGCAATGCTATTTCAGCAGTGTAACTGGCAGAATAAGAAACGTATCTAGCATTTGCCCCAAATGGGACATTACTTCATTTTTTTGAGAAAGTTGAAACTTTTCTCAAGCTAGAACTTGCGTCTGCTATATTGCCTCCTGCTGTAGGACGACCCTACCTCGGTTATACCCAGTAGCCTTCCCTTACATGCGGTATGTCCCACTGTCTTGGAGGAGCTACGTGTGTGTGCCACACAACCGTCAGCATCAGCAGGCATCTAAACGTTGAAAATGTCATCTGCAGTGTCAACAAACTGTGCCCTTGCACTGTTAATAAACTGGCTATGTAAACTAATTTGGGCATTGGCTACACGTCCATGAAAAATATCACTTACATGCTCCAAGCCCAGACAGAGGACAATGACAACCAGTTGTGCTCTAGTTCAGTGCAGCGATTTTGAAAGGCTCTGACTGTGCATGTTCCTATGCCACAGTCTTGCAAAGCCTTGTACATCGTGGGAATGGGTAACCACATCATTTCAGCTGTCACAACTGCTAAACATCTTTCATAATGATTATGATTCATTCAAGCAGGAGATACCACGAGAACCGCATCTCACTAACTTTCCAAAGGTGTCCATGGTCCTTAAAATGACTGTTTCTCTGACTGGAGAGATAACTTACCTCATTACCATATGATATGTTTAAAAAGAAAAAAAAAAAGCCTGCTAATTAGCTCTGTTCGGCTGCATGATGGCAGTTTCATGTGTCAGAAGTATGGCAGTTACATAGAGCTACAATACCTGTGGGCCTAGAAGTCCATGTGCTTGAAATATACAGTCTCCTACCAGGGTCCCCGAGGCCTTATCCAGTATTTGCACATTTGTATACAATCCAGAAAGCTTTTTTTTTTTTGTTAATTGAAACAAAGAAGCATAGAGATGGGGTCAAGGCAGCTATAGACCAAGTCCCCTCCATTCTTGTTGACTTGAGTAAAAGTTAAGAGTATTTAAGAGTTAAGAGTAGTTAAGCTAACAACTCCTTTTCGCACCCATATTCATAGAAGATGTTCTTACCTCACCTCAACCTACCATGGGAGCCTGGGAGGTGCATCCAGGAGTGAGCACAGCGCCAGATGCAGGAACGGGGCTTTCACTTTCTCCCAGTCTTCCTCCCTCCTGATGCAAGAACGCTCTCCGCCGTCAAGTGAGCCATCGCTTTGTGATTTACACACATCAGCCAGCAGTGGTGATGCAGCGTGTACTGACAGACAGACAACCGCTGACGCTAAGCTCATGTATTCCCTTTATTGAACTGTACTAGTTATTGCAATCAGATTAAGTCACATTTATAAAGCAGACCATCCAGTTGCACTGAAACCGATTATATTCATTACATAGTTTTAATCACTGTCCGGTGAACTGGCAAATCCAATCAAAGCATTAGTCTTTAATTAAAAAATTAAAAAGAAATATTCAGACAATAGCCAAGCAATCACATCACAATGCACAGTTATCTAAAATTGCAATTAAAAAGCAGTTAACAAAAAAGAAAAAAAATCACACCTAATCTTTAACTATCAATATAATACAAGAAGCAACAAAGGGCAACAGCATCAAAGCAGATTTATCTAACACTATAAATTCAGTCAGAAGCAGAAGCTCTAAAGTACACTAGCTGAAGCAGGACAATAAAAAATACTGAGCATGGAATACTTTTAATCTCTTCCATTAATATTCATTTCCAGCTGCTTATAATAGCAGCGCCTCATGGCCAAATCATTAGAGTTTTACATCTGGGTTGCAAATGACACTTTGATTGGATGTAATGTTCAAATGGTCCTCCCCACTGTGCCACCGTCAAGTCTTCTGCAGAGAGGTGTCCTGTAGTGCCAGTGGCTCACTGTGCGTGCTGGCTCAATGTGTGGTTCTGGAAAGACGAAAAAAGGAGACATGCATGAGGGGCAGAATAATAGAAAGCATGCCCATACCCTCCTACTCAGTACCATTTATGCAGAGCTCGACATAAAAGCTTCTCAATTATTACAAAACAAAATGCAATAAAGAAAAAGTACTCATAAGTAACAGCTGCCAATATGACACATTTGCTTTGTTCTGACAGATCTGTTAATGCTGGCATGAACTTAGAAAAAAAATGCTACAAGCCAAGTACAGCCATGAGCGTTTCTTTTTTTTTTTTTTTTTTTTTTCCTTCCTTTCAATACATGTAAAGAAAGCGGTAACACTTCACGGGCAAAAACTGCCTTTAGGGATTCCCTTAACTATAACAATTAAAAAAAAAATAATCTGAATCGCGGGGGGAACCCTGGCCATATTTTACTCTCTTATTCTCATAGCACCGGGTGCAAGTACTGGCAGCAAGAGACACCAGATTGTGACACGCACTTCTCAGTCCAAGAAATACTTCAGCAATAACAGCTGACCCGCCAGTTCAGGCACCAGGGTAATATACCCAGCAGAAAAAAGGCCGGACACGTAACCCAGAAGTTAAATCTCTTTAAAGAATAGACTTTGCTCTACATATTTCTTTCAGCAGTTTAGAGTGCTTTTTGTTCCCTTTTTTCCTTTTGGTAGATTTGTAATAGCCTCATGTCATCACAGTATCTCGCATCAGAGGATGCTGACCTGTCTTGCCATTTTATGCAGGAGCCAATAAATCGTGAAGCCAACCTTGGAAGCGTATTTTTAGAGCAGTACCAATTCACCTACATTTTGTGTGCTGACTGAAACCCAGTCCTACATATAAGCTCAGCTTCATTTGTGTGATTATTCAACTATTTGAGCAACTAGAGATGTGCTTCATGGTGAGCTTTTCTCGAGCTGGGTCCCCAGCATCCCCAAATATAAAAATTCATTTGCATTATTTCAAGCCAAGGCAATTTTACTAGCCTCCATCTGCCTAATAACAGAGCCAGGCAAGTCCACCAGCTTGAAGAATAAGTTTTTAAACACAAAATGAATTTTGAATCTAATTATTTATTTACAATGACGAAGCTTCAAAATAGAGTAAGATATTTTAACTTTTCATAAATCATCTGGTCCTTCTACGCAGTTACATCCTGATCAGGAAAATGCATGATCCTCTGCTTTATCCGGAGATGACATCTCCCTGACGAAAACCGTCTGTGGAAAGAGCTAACGGGCAGCCTGCGATGCGCGGGGCCAGGCGGCGGTGACCCCATTTGCAGGCAGGAGCGTTTCTGGACTGTGCACTCCCAAAAAGTGACCACCAGGTGTCAGAAGTGCTGCTGAGTTCCTAAATCATAGTAAAAGTTCTCTGTGATATTGCGATGGGTGGGCAGCGAGGAACCTCCGCACAGTAACGGTCAGGCTTTAATGGGCCAGAAGGTTACAGAGGCGGCAGAAGTATCAGAGCTGCCGCAGACCTGGAAGGAGCCCTCGTGAAATTAAATACAATCGACTGATGAAATCACAAAACAACTGGTCCTTGTTTAGCGTAACGCCAGCCCTCTGAGAACACCCTGCCTGTGATGCTGAATATTTCAGAATCAAAAACCTGGAAAGCTTATCAGGGGATAAAGCATTATACTTGAATAACATCAAGTGAATTGACAGTTGAAATGACTTTGCTTTTAGACAATTTAACATCACCAAACATAAAATCCAATGGCTTTTTACTTTGCTATACATGGACATGTTCCTGGCCTTGGTAAGGAATGACCTTTGCAGAAGGATGTTATTCTCAAGTCAAATAACGACGTTATGGAAGAGGATGGATGGAGCCCTACAAATACAGTAGCAGCACTGAAAATAAGCTTGTCCACTAAGCCCAGCTAGGAAAGCATGAAAATGGGAAAGAATACACAGGCCACTCTGCTCAGAAACACTCCTCAGCATCTTGACAATGGCCATTTTTCGTGCACTTCATTACAGTTCTATTTTTAGGTCATCCTGAATATCAATAAAAAAAGCAAAAGGTTTACCGTCTTCAAATCGAACTAAGGGCTAGTCGTGGTAGACAAATCCATACTTATTTAGGCAGTGTCATTTAAAAGATAATGCACAATCAGCACTAGATGCATGACGCACGGTCTACAGTCAGGGAACATGATTTCAAACTTGTGTGGCTGCTGCATTGATTACACCAGGCAGGTCAATAAAGGAATGGTATGTGGCTCTAAATCTGATAATGAAGCTTTCATTGCGAGCCCTCCCTCCTCAAAACATAGGTTAATAATATGTTCTGAACACTCCTAATACAACGAATATACACCCCTACTACAACGAATATACAGGATTTGCGAGCAGACCTTACACAAAGAAACAAACAGCTTATGCTCAAATCCTGCAGCCATTCAGAGCTGAGTCAGGTAGGAGCTGAGCAACTAGCCCTGCCACAGGGCTATCAGGTAAAAAAAATAAACCAGGCATTTTTCATATGCAAATCTTGATTTTCTCTTAATATCTTGGGAATGTACCATTTATTCCCTTTGCATGCATTACTGGCAATCGATATGCTGACTAGTCCCCAGACCAAGCAGTTAATAAATAGAGCCACATTTTATACAGGACCTCACAAAAGTATCTGTAACGCCGAGGGACACAAGAGCCTGTGTGCACCGAATCCTCCCCCTGCACAAGAGAGCAGATCCCGCACAAGCCATGTGCACCAACGCGTACGTCCTGGTGAACACCAGCCCACCAGGTTCCCGCTGGTGCAAATACTGCGTAACCACCACTGGTGTGTATTCAGAAGACCCACAAAAGCCTGTCCCTATCCTCTGCAACCAGTATAGGTTTCTCACCTATTACAATGTATTTCAGACCACACAAACATGCTTTCCAAAAAAAGTTTGGCAAGCTGTCTCCTATTACTAGCAACTGTCATGTCTTGTCTTGCTTCTACTCCCTCTGCCCCGTCCATGTGCAGCTTATTGGAATTGTGCTTTGCACATGTCAGAAAGCGGCTGAGACCTTCAGTGCTTATGTCTCTTCTCTCACATGTGTTTTGCATATTTGACCCACGCTTTACCAAATAACTTTATTAGGCACCTCTGTGTGCGCCCACAAAGAAAATTCCCCTGGCTGACCAGACTTCCAGAGCAGTTGAAAAATAAGTAAACCCTGGCATTGAGAATGCCCTGTGCCTTAGCAGAAACAGCTTTCCCCCCGATGCTGCGCTGGGCTGTTCCAGGCGGCAGAATGAAACCATACAGGCCAGAAGGGAGTGACCGTTTTGAAACGTGTGATACTACGGGAATGCTTCTACCCAAGTAGCCTAAGGAAACGTCACCCACCTTCCAGCAGGAGGGTGGGCTGGCAGGAAACAGCTCGCGCGTGATTTTTCAACTCTAGATGTTATAGTTAAAAAAAAACAACAAACCACCTTAACGGTGATTTTCAAAGGAAAATAGAGCAGCCGCAAAAACGAAGCCTCTCCAGGCACGCTTGTGAGTGTGTTTGCACATGCCTACCTGCTCACAAGACCATCCATACACGTATGCATGTGGGGGCCAGCAGGAGGCAGGACATAATTTGGAAGCTGAACAGTAAAAATGGCTCTTCACAGCTCCTGTTAGGCCCCCTGGTTTACGCACGGCTCACAGCTGATACCCCACTGAATACATCATTCTGAGACATTATTGCAGCTGGAAAACTCTACAGCAGCACTAAGTCACCTGTCAAGATCAAGTAAGTCACAGCTTATTTATAGGACAAGGTTGGAAAATTTCTTCTTTTCTTTTCTTAATAATCATGCAAAATGGATAGCAAATCCGTTAGCCACGTCAGGGGGAAAAATGCAACCACCCCGAGCCTCGGGGCTGTCGCAGTGTTTAAGTGGAATTTTCTACTGGCTGCACAATCCCCAAATGAACCATTTGCGGAAGTGTCTGTGACCAAGGAACTGGGCGGCGGGTTTTGCAGGAAATAAAAAGATTTCAAAGAATGGTTGATTATTGTCCATGTAGATACTGATTGCTCTCCAGATCTTCCCTGGGGACACCCCCTGCCTGCCCTCTGGATGCGGATCAAGCCATTTGTGCAGGACATCTACAATGAATATTTCTCTGGTTTTCTACATGCATTATTATGAAAACATTGGCATGACAATCTCCATTTTCAGAGCGCTGTGTCAAGAAGGAAAGCATCAGGCTTGAAAGATGATCACTTACAGCAGTTCAAAGAACTCTTACAAGCTATATAAAGATCGAGAGAAAAAACACACACAAAAAAGCAGCACATGATGGAGCAGAGCTCCAAGCCAGGCAGTCAAGCTGGGAGTCTCCCACACTGCAACAGCGTTCACTGCCAACAAGTCACAGGTGTACTACACAGGAGCAGGTGAAAAAAATAAAATGCAACTGCGAGGGGTGTGATAACGGTTTGGGGCCATAATACATCCAGTCTATAGTGCCATTGTGCATCTGTTATGTATTTAGATATTTTGTAGCAGCCGTTTAGAGGTACAGTGTCTATGTACATAAGCATATACACCTAAAAAAACGTATGTTATACAGAGGTTAAGAAATGGCACAACTAGGCTGGTGATGCCCACCACCCTCAAGTGAAATTCCTAAGCCGTCTGCAGTGTTACACAGAGATTGGGACTCTGATGAAAGGTTATAAAGCCTCTCTCTCCCCTTCCAATTCCCATTAAAATGAACAGAAACCATTCCTCAAACCATTTCAGTTGGAATTACGGAAATAATAGATTTACGCAACAAACAGCCAACAGGAAACTTAACTGGTGGTTAGCCACGGGGTGGCCCATGCGCATGAGCACACCGGGCGTTTGGGAGCGGACGCACGCGGTGCTTACTGCCCGCCCATCGCTTCTGCAGAGCCGGCTGCTCAGCCCATGCCCCCCTGGCTGCCCCACGGCTCGCTGCAGGGGGGACACCGGGCTGCACTGGCACTGCAAAACCGCCCGGACCGAAAACACCAACC